GCCTCAAATACAGCCTACATACACTAAAAGTTTGGTTGGTTCCGGAGGTGACACCTCGTAACGTGAATGTCAGTCACCTCTCCCTCAATAGTATCTTTCGTATAATTTGGCCATACAGTAGAGTTAATCGAAAATTCACCCTAACGTCAATGATCACTGCATTTGCCTTTGATACGTGGCTTTCTCCACCACTTTCCAGAACAGCTTCTCTTGGGTGGCATAATCGCTCGCGGTAACAAAACCGTGAACCCTCTGGAAGGAAGCAGTTGACATTTTCGTATGTAAGATATTTCGTGGAACACTATATTCTCTTGAAGAGTGCACTTGCCTGATCGGTATCCATGACGCTGAGAATCAAAAGAATCCGTGCTTTTGCAAACCTCTATCGATCTAGATAACGCTAGTTTAATCCTTCTGTTTTATCAAACATGCCGGATCCAGTTAAATTGAAATTTATCCTCGGAATTTCGATCCGCTTCAAATAGCACTGACAGAAAAGTCCTGCCTCATAGTGCAGAATAGGTTGCTTTTTCTTTCATTTCCTTTGGTGTCCTTGCAAACCACCCTCTTCCTTCCGAAAACACTGCACAAACATACCATAATTCACCTCATTTTTCTGTTCACTGTCAGTCAGCAAGTTGTTTTTTTACAACCTTCTTTTCACTGAATCCATTAGTGACATGCAGAGTACGTCAAAATTTTGAGTCACTGTCCCGGATCTGGGTTTCCCGCAACTTCTGGATTTATTTTACCCTCGAAACCCTTCCGATAAACTGAAGTTATCTTTCAAGCTTTCGCAATCTAACTTTTCTGTACGGTTTATCACCAACCTACCAAGCAACCGCATTTGAGTACTCATGGTCAGTAGATGAAATTTAAGTGTCAATCAAAATAAACTTACCTAGAATTACCAGCTTATCTGCGTTTTAGGGGGTTTAGTAACAGGAAAGATAACTGAAACGAGTAACGCCAGAAATAGATGCACAGGGATGACAAGATTGAGTCTAACCAGAGGCGAAATTCCCAGTGAAAGCAATCGCTACGGCTGTTCGATTCACAGCATGTTATTTTTCTCATTAGACTTTGGAAGAATGTTTTGTCTTTTAGGTAGAAAGCCGACCAGTCCCTTGCTAGTAGAGGTGTGCCATAAAATTTTCGAGTCAGTACTCTGAAGTGATCTCAATATGGTTTCATTTAGTTACCCACACAGCTCAAAAATGTCCCAGATTCCATCACCGACTAATCAAATCATCCTCATTGGGAAATCACGCGACGATCGGTCCGCCCCCATTTTGACGCAGTAGGCTCTGACGCCCAACAGAAAGAACTAGTTTGAAAGTAATCATAAAGATAAACGTGAAGAGGTCAGAAATCCTGTTGTCTGTGTAACGTATCATCCATCGGTCCATTCACGCTGATATGTTCTTAAGCTATCCGACGCAAATAGCAGTTACCATCTGTCATGGATCAACGCTTAATGCAATTACCTTTGTATCTTTCAGTCAGCATTGAGAAAAACCTAGTTGGATTGAATTATTCCTTTGATGATTTCAAGGACACTTTGCTTGCCATAAATACATATAACAAGGGTTTCAGATAACAGTCGATTTATTCCCAAAAGCATGCCTAAACACGAATCCCGTAGTCTTGTTGAACAGTAGATTTGCGGAAGGTAGAAGTACGATTCGTTTTGAACATGATTTGAAATTCATGCCATCAAAGTGTTTTCAACTTCATTTACTTATCCGCAAAATCGTTTTTGGTGATTCGGCAAAGGGAGCACGCGAAAAGGAACATCCTAAACGCACCCTCTTCCGTGCTGCTTTTATACGTAACTACCGGGCATAAGATTTTACGTTATTTCGCACTCCCCAGTATTGGCCAGAATGCTTTGTTTTACTTAGTTAAGTACCTTTCGCGTTCTCATCTGCTCATCTTCTGTTACGACAGCAACTGGCACAGTTACCTGCAAGCACATTTGGAGAAACAACAAACCATGGCTTGCAGTTGACGTGCAGGAAAATGTGAAACAATAGACTAGCTGTTCGTGGAATTCTGACGTTTCTTAAGAATACTAGTAGCTGCATTTGGGGACAACGTGAAACCTCATAACTCGGTAATGGCCACCTATATTAAATTCATCCCAGCAACGCAAAGGTGCAGCCCACTGACGACTAGCTGCCTTAAACACATGGCCAACGTGGATAAGACAGTGTTGAGTGCATGCTTCAAACAGGTGCAGAAAGCAGAACACAGGGAGCGGATACCAGAAAAAGCACAACCAACTTCTACATGGATATATTATCTATCCCTTCAAATGTAGTCTGTGGTTGTCACAAACTGCGAAGCCATATCTGGCGAGGCCGACTCCCCCTATCTCCAAATTCACTGCTAATGTTGAATCGCAGCTGACAAAGCATACCAGTAACATCATTAGTAACTCCGTATTTCGATAGTCGTGTATGTCACAAATTGATGCGCAAAGGTCGTCAAACTGTTTCCCTCAGTGAGCGGAATCACGATCTGTACGTGGAATGGCAGCTCGTCCGGACAGCCCCAAAATGACAGCTTTTCGTTGCGTTACCTTAAAATCTTTCAACAATTGGTACTGGAACCAGCACCAATATCGTTCCCAAAGGAAGGCTCCATTAGAGATGAACTATTCATGCACAGGGTTGATGAAAACTGCGAATGGTAGAAACGGAGAGGGCGTCTTTGACACCCATATATATATATATATATATATATATATATATTATTGGTAAGAGCAGTTGATTTGTCATCTTTAAAGAACTTCTGGGACTATCCGTGTCTCGCCGGTGTGTTTGATAGAAGTTCTGGCTCATCTGAGGCGCAATCTGACGGCATATACGTGGAAAAAGTTTGGACAGTGATCTACGTGGTTGTTAAATGTTTTGGACTAATAGCCAGCACAGTTTCTGAGTCTATTTATTTCCGTCTTCAGAATTTCCCGGACAATGTCAGCGTTACAGTCGAGTCCTTTCCCTGGTAACTTGAGTAGCTCTAATGGAATGATGAGTTTGTCAAATTTGGCATCGGGTGTCATCTTGGTATCAGGTAAACCATATGTTAATATTAGACAGTGCAAGATGCCACTCCACTGTTTCACTGCAAACTTTGTTTGTCCACTGGATAATGTGTTCTCGATAGGCGTACTGTTATCACAGGATCATTCATTCTTTCCAATCGCTGCAGCAGTCCACCTAAGACAGAAGAGCTAACAGATTTTGAATTTTGTGCTCATCGAGGCGCTCCTTCATTTACTTCCACGTACTCTACACTTTTGCTCACCTAGAAGAAGGGCAACCAGTCCAACCGCCTACTGAAAATTCACCGGAAAATTCGAAACGATTTTGGGTGACGTTAACTGCGGGACAATCCAAGGCTTCCTATTCACACAGAACAATTGTTTTAGACTGAAAACGGGAAGGTAATTATGTTGCCCGCCACAGCCTGGTGGGAGACAGGGCACATTTTCTCCCTCCAACTGGCGACTCATTTGTACTTATTGCTTATCGTACTGTGTTGTTGTGATAGATCCTTGTAACAACGAAGGATGTATAATTACCTCTATCTTCATTATAACCCTGAAAATGCTAAAGGTGTTCTATCGGATCGCAGGCGTTCAGAATATGGAGATGAACATATAGACGCAATACACTACTCATAAGGTTACTGAAAATTCTTCGACAACCCACGACTTGTTTCGCCCCTCTTGAGATTCATCAGGTAGGCACAGTCCCTGAGTCTCCGTCAATATTATGTCCTACTTGAACCTAAATTGCATGAAATTAGGGAAATGCACTCATTTGCGAATCAATTTTATTTTGAGGGACTCACCGGGAACCCAGCTGAATCCTTCGTGTATGATGTTTTTAAGCTTAAAAACATCACAAACGAAATTCAACTAGTAAGTCTCCCGCAAAACCAAGTTTGCTTGCAAATGATGTTAACATAATTTAACTTGTGAGAGTCTGTCATACGAAGTAGTGCAGCTAAGAATGATAACATTCGGGCTATTTGTACGCACACCTCAGACCAAGGATTTTATTGCCAAACAACGAGCCCATTTACCACTCGGAGCGGAGCAGGATAGGAATTTTAATCAGCACCGTTTTAGCTAAATTTCAGTCCAAAGTATCTTGCCTTGAAAATTCACCGTATGGAGGCTAAAACCGAATCCCAGATAATACACGATAAGATTTGAAACATGCAGTCATCGTTTCAACTTGCGGCGTGGCATAGGTAGCACAACGGGTGCCAAACAACACTTGAAAGTGTTAACCGCTCCTGCTTAATTGTGGGCAATGTTATTCGGTTTGCAACATTCTCCCACAGTGCTCGGTCTTGGACAATGTACTACAGAACCAGTTCATCTGGGTAGCTGTTTAAGCTCCACTGGTCACTGAAAAGGAGAAGAACTATATTCTGAAAGTCCATGTTGTTCTTGCGAAGATATCAGTATCATACTAAGGGTTGCGTAAACGATTTGTGTATAACCTGCAGTTTTGTTGTAAGGAAGAAGGATCTAGTTTTTTCATTAAGACACAACGCCCCGTGTTTCCGGAACATGCACTGAGAATATCATGTGAACAAAGACGAGATTCACCGACGCGTTTCTGATGCATCAAGTTCCAGCACACAGCTGAGTGCGACCAGCATATACAACAGGTCTCACTGTCTTGGTCACATTCATCCTGTGTCCAGTCAACACCAACCTCTGTAGGGTTTATTCCGTAAACCGAGAGCCACACTGAAAAATATACCAAGAGATCTAATGACGACAGGGTATTGGAATATGAAAATCTTGACAAAACGATCTGCATCACTGGGTTCACCTAGCCTATGACACTTGCCAGTCTGGTACAGAAACACAATTAGTCAGACGAATCCCGCCTATTCTTGTCCTAATATTTTTCCTTCCTTCTCCATATATATATATATATAAAGATTTTTCAGACTTGATAACCAAATAGATAAACAAATGCGACGTGGTACAAACCGGTATAATATCACTTGAAAATTTCTGGAAAAAATACAAAAACTGCATGTACAAAACACAAATAGTAGGTATTTATATTTGTATAAGAAAGCTTCCGATGCCCGTGGCCAGTAACCAGTTCGGTCGTTTTGAAGAATCGTCCGTGATCGTGATATTCAATGCTAGTCCATGGGGGTCACCAATGCCTGGAAGAATCGAGCGTTGTAATGGCCTGAGAACGGTCTCTCGGTTACCAGCTATGCTAAACTGCCAAAGAATCAGACGATGATCAGCTGCCAATGTTACAACACGGTTCCAAATCATTAATTGGTCCGTAGTAGGAAGCACGGCTAGTCGGACTATTGCTGCGAAGTGACACGTTTCGCTGATTAGCCATTCAGGTTGTATTGGTTCGTTAAACTGGGAAGAAATTCTCGCGACACGCAAGCTGCCATCATCAGCACCAACGAACAAAATTTGTTTCTGTGACTCAATGTCAAGACAATTGAATGCCGGATGAGTGTCCTTGTAAAATGGTTGAACCGGTCGGCTAATCAGTGACCACTGGAATGTTGCGTTGAGCTCATCTGCATCGAGTAGGTTATCGGACCACTGAACAGACCAGCATTCACATTCGCCGTCGCTGTTTGATGCGATGACAACAAGCTGGTTACACTTGGATTCGAGAAGCTTCATATCTAAATAGCACTTTGGAGTAAAAGTAGGACAGGCATTATTTGATGCCAGTTGATGCAAACCCCCCAGCTCAATAAACTTGGGAGACCGAGGGTGAACTTCAGTCGGTGGGAGAATGGCGATGAGCCTAATAAGAAAAAAGAAGAGCAATAGTTGAGCTGAGAGTTTAGAATAGTTTACCAAGAGAGCAAACACAAGTGTCAACTGAACAGAGTAACCTAAATAGGAAGTTAACACGCCAGTCGTGCGAATTCCAGATAGTAGGTGTTCAATCACCATTCAACTGACCGTGTACAAGTAAAATAGTTTAGAGAAAGTCAATCAAACGGCTAACAGTGTAAAAATTGGCATAAATTAACTAAGTGTTATTCCATACGGTCGAAGAATAAAGGCTGGATCTTGAAACAAAAGTTATACGCACTACACCATGTGAGCAGAATGTGACCAAGCATTGTTACCATTCGTTCCAAGCGCCCAATTAGCTTAATGTGAAGACAAAAGCCATTCATCCCTTTCATTTTATCACTTAGCGAGAATATTCAAAATCAACCGCCTACACTCCACAGACTTCCCAGCGCTCTGGTTAGAACAAGAATCAACCTGAGTTGATTGGTCAGAAGCCAACAAATATGACGGCGACGCTGTACAATGATTCTCAGCCCGTTTCCTGCCTCCTTACATATCACAATTGGATGTGCAAGGGGTAGAGGTGAACAGCCCAACAAGAGCGGATAAAGCTGGGTTTGCAGACCGTAGCAAACCTCCCTGAAACTTCAATGATGATACCTTCTGCAAGCAGTTTCGTCCAAACGAAGGCGACGTACTTCCAGCGGCTGAAATAAACACTGGAGTCCTTAAGAAAAACTTTTATAAGTTGCTAGGATATTCGCACACCTGTCAAACCACCAGGGAGTTTCAGTATGCAAAATCTCTATAAACATCGACTAAACATGAAATGCCTCTCCACTATCTGACTCCAGTACCAGAGTAGACGTTTCACACTGTATCTAACACAATGGACAAGCCGACAGCTCAAACATTTGTGGTGTTGCCTTCCAGTGAGTAGCGGTGCCAATGGTGAACACAATGCTTGAACATCAGTAATTTCAACACTTGCAATGTTTCGTTGTTCTTCCGTCTCACGAAGTGGGTATGCCATTCAAATCTAGCACACTGCAGCTGAGCTAAACGCAAACGTTCATCATTCCAAGACAATTTCCAAAGATATCTCTCTACCCTTACCGTGAATGATCTTTCTAACGCCGTTGGCCTACACCGACTTTGATAAGTGTCTGTGCTGCTGATGGCTTAGTGTAGGGCTCCTACCAGACAGCTATGCCCGGAAAGTCATACGGAAGTGTCGGTTTCTTTTATGGTATACTTCTAAGCTATGCTGAGTGCCAGTATCGTCAACCTAGGATGATGTAGTAGGTGTGGTACACTTATTTTTATCACCTTTCCCAAATAGTCCTCCTGGTGACTACAGCTTATCATTAGGTAGAGCAAAGTCCCGGAACACAACACTGAGACACATTTTCATATGGTTACAACGTTCCTTATGTAATCGTGCTGAACGACAATAGACGGCAAAGAGGGTTTCGTACGAGACCCAAATGCTCGAAGTGATGATTTTTGTCTACAACATCATGAATGTCGGGCTACCCGTTGTCCGAAGTCTGCAAATCGAGTTAGAGTTTGATCAAACGCGGTTATGGAACAAGAAAAAAGTCAATTAGTGTGACATACCGAATGGAACCATCAGAACAAGCTGCAACCGTTAGCACAATAGGTTCACGACAGCAGTCCAGTTGGCAGATTTCCACAGATACTATAGCCATGACACGCAGATCGGTGGTCCGGCAAACTCTGGGAGAAATCGATTTGGAAGATGAAGACTGGTCACCCGCAAATTCTTGCGTTCCTGTGTCAACCGAATAGCCGAATTCCACTTGTTGCTTGGTAAATGTGGATTTTACAAGTGCAAGTCTAATGGACCCAAGCCACCCTGGTCGCCAAGAGGATTCCGTGGAATCGGTAAGATTGATTCGCCAAATACCAATCTGTCCACGACCACCGCCCGATATCATATAGCCATTGAGCCCGTTCACGCCAATTGTTTTGTGCGTCTCCAGTATAACTGGCACACTAAGACAACGGATGTTGGATATGTGACCGCGGTGATGCTCGGGTGAACAGTGATAAGTGACATCTAGAGAGTGCAAAAACGGAAATTAAGGCACACATGAATCTCGTTTTCGAAAAAGTAGGATATTGCAAAAAGCGACGACACAGGGAGCAAGTTTGTTCATAGACCACACGAGCGGATAATTGTGAATACAAGGAATCCTTTTAAAACATACCCAGGAGCAACAAATCCAACCGAAAGGCAAACGAATGAACACGTTTTACTTGCCTTGACACAGGACTAATCACAGGGTTCATAAAAATTCTGACACAGCCCACTAACGGTTCCGCTCTCTCGCTAACACCGATTTGATTTCCAAATGAGTGTATTTCGCCACCCAGGAAGAATTTAGTGTTCGAGTGGAAAATAAGGCTGATGGAAACTCAAGGATTATGCCTGTCAAAGATCCTCCATCAAATTTATAGGCAGTGTTATGTCGAAAGAAATACTACGGCATGTTGATTAGCTTTGAACCTAGACATGATGCGATCATTGTGCAGCACATTCAGTTAGAGTTTACTATAAATGAGATTCAGCTGTGTGCTGAGTATCACGTCAAACCGTGTCTTGATTTTTTTTCCGAGCTACAACTGGGTCGCACTTTTTTGTGCCAAAGGAATAACTCCATGAATCGAACTAATTTCCCCGGTTGCAGCTATTTCCCGAAAGCGTCACTTTAGTTTCACCAAACTATTTCAGAAGGACGTATTCAAGCCTCTACAATGGGGTCATTGTCATTTTTCGAAAGATGATCAAAACGTACGGAGGGGTATAGTTTAGTCTCCAAACCAAACTCACGATGCAGCAACCATAAAGACTAGAGCGCATGGGGATCGCGGGGTCAAACAGAGATGCGAATAGAAGAGTTTTATAGTAGGGCTTCTTAGCAGAGAATCAATCGGGACAAAATAGTCAACGCCAAACGCAAAGAATCTAGACATATATATACACTGACCTGTTCGTCCCAAAGTATCTGCCTTAAGTGCCCAGCTTGACAAATCCGTACTTTCGCCACCCGCAAAGCAGAATAGGGCGGTGAGCGGATCTATAGTGTATAGGAAGAGATCAAAAGAAAACAACCATTTAAACGAAGCAACCAGAGGGAGCCATTTCAAACCATAACCACATTTCCCCTGAATAGTGCACAATGCCTGAGGAGTGTGTTGCCCTCCTAAGTTTGCATGCCCATTTCTGTCCTCAGCCCGTAGGTAACACAAGGAGGAAGACGTAAGGATTGTGTGACTGTATAGGTGAAGTGACCTTGTTTACTTTTATCACATCTCTAAAACAACACAAAAGTAATAGGGATAATGGCGATGTCTCACACCTTCAGGAGTTCGAACCCGTTCTAAAGATAGAGCGATGCTTTGTTCACAAGCGTGATAAATACATCAACTGGTTTTGTGGTTTACTGCAAAGCATGCCGCATGACTGGAGATATTAAGTACCTATTCCGCGCTTATCATCGGACAAACGCTACCTGATATTTTTGTGATGATTCATGTTCCTGTGTCCAAAACATGATTCAACAGGACAATTCTTAACGGTTCTGCCGAATGAAAGTCGTAAAACCAGGAACTTTCATTGCCGTTCATCTGTATCCAGTACTGTTGACGGACATGCATGTTGAGCCATATGGATGTTCAAACGGCCGAAATTTGTGAAGAGACCCCCATTCTTCGATGAACCATAAAATCGCCTTTCCTTCATCAGCAATGCAGAATTCCCATTTTGTATGGCACTTTAAGCACTTTCAACCACAATTCGCTCGTCTTTTTGGGCTGTTCAAGTCAGAGATTACACTGCAATTCAAACCAACTGAATCCAACTAGGTGATGTAAGGGTAGTTTTCAGGCACTCTAATTTCGACACAAGAAAATACAAGCTAACATACAATCTATGCCTCTAAAATTCGTGTATTACATACCAAGTAGTCTAAAACTACAATGCAGTACGACAACAGACAGTTGGGATGTGGAAATACCGAATATCAGCATGCGTGTCGGGAATTCGAACAACTTTCAGCAACAAACGAAATCTACAAAAGCGTAGAAAAACAGCCTACTGGATGTGAAAGCGGAAGTGGGGTTTAAGTCTCATGCACGCAAACCCATCCTTTCGCACGCGCTTCTCACACAGCATGAAAAATGACTGAGCCGAAGAGCCATCCACTTTCAGAACAGACTAAAATGGCAGCAGCAGGATAAAACTACACTTATTTGGAACAAAAAGAACTGAACAGAGTGAGGTTGGGAATTTCGTCTTTTTCGCTCATAAGAATAAAAGTAATACACCAACTACCAGAGTTTGCTTGCATTATTAGTTTCCATCGCGGTGGTCAATGATATATACAGTAGAATGCGAAACACTGGAAATTAAAAACGAGATGCATCTAGATGTTGACCTTTCGAGTCTGGAGCCTCGAACGATGAAACCTCTTGGGTAGTACCAATGAATAAATCTAACTTTTCGGAAAAGTTTGGGAAGCAATCGATAAATTTGTTGCCCGAATACGTTTCGCTTTTGACACAAAATCTTAGTCTGGCCACGTGACTATGTTATGATGTTGGTCGAGAATAGAAGACACCAGTCCCGGAAGTTTTTTTAGACGTCACGAAGCCAGTTTGACAATTTTGTCGTCTCCAGATTTAAAATTTAGGTGATCAGCGGTCTAAATAATCCTCGTGTGAGGGGAATATAATGCGTGTCCCGGCCACTCAAATGGTTATCAGGAAATCTAGTGGATGTACTGTATGTCGGGCTGCATGTGGCTGGCATGCGAAATATGGTCTGGTGGCCAGTATCACTCATAAGCTCCTGAAGCATGAACATACGGCTAGCTAGTGCGAAGCAGTAAATAGCTTCGTGTCACAGAAAGTCACTTATGGTCGCGTTGTGAGCTGAACATTCCACAGTGTCCAAGCTGTTCAGGTGGACACAGATGAGAACTACCTGACAGTTTGACTCAATAATCTTCAATTCAAACCAACTAGATGCGCCTGCGTCACTATTACGCTGAACACAGGAGATACCAGCACAGAATTCCGTATTTTGTCACGGTTCGACTTGGTACGGTCTACAGAATGATGGTCACTAAGAGTTACTTCTGGCATTGAGGTATTGAGTGTGTGTAAGGCCCAGTGGGGTCTGTTACGATCTATACAGCGGTTACTACCGAAAGCCACCTTAAGTATAATCGCAGGTCTAGCTATATCTAAACCTCAGAAAGCTGAGACAGACCTAATGAACTGCTGATAAATTGTGATATCACTTATTGCCAACCAATGGCACAGGCGCAAACACAACCGCGATCCCTGTAGGTCCGGCTCGTCATGTCTCCAGGACAAACGGCTTCGAGTGAACCCTTGCATCTTGCAAGCTTAATCCCTCAGGTAACCCAACAAAAGTCCACAGACTCTGTGCTACGATCTGCGCATTTCCATTTAGTTAAAGTACAGAATGGAATTATTCTTCAAGTTGACTAACAGACCAAACTGTTGTACCTGTTCATAGTCGGACGAAGATCCTGTGACAGTTCACCCTCTCATTGAGGTGGTCTATCCACTGCATTCCAAGTGATGTACGAAATTTACTGAAGGGCTTTGCATTTACACACACGGATGAACAGACACTTACACTTTTGTATATGACTAATCCCAATCATCACCTGCAGGTTATCGTCCCTCGTGTGTGGCAAATTGGATGAAACCGAGAGCTAACCCGCATTGTTTCCCTGATGAGATCACAGCCCCTGTGTACTCATATGAATTTTGGGCCGAAAAGGAAAACGATCCAACTGACCGGAATAGGTGAGCGAAACGGGGACAGAGTATCAAAGTAGAGGAGAAATGAAGAAAAATCCAACACGGAATAGCAGTGGCAAATTGTAGTGAACGGGGACAACACGAAACCTCTGACTTTTCACAACCCGTTGATTATTTTGTTGAGAAACGGAGGAGCATGACATATTTATCCTATGATCTTTAGAGTACCGACAGGCATTTCAACTTTGCGTATTCAATACTAACGGGCAGTACTGTACTCGAAACACAACTTTGGAGTAGTAAGTAGGGAATATCGGTTCATTTACGAATATAATCGAAAAGAACCAATGAATGAAAACGCAATAAGCTTATACATTGTGGACACTTCAGAAAGTCGTAAACGCATAAAACATTCCATCTTAGCCAGTTAGAGTTTTTCCAGCTCAAGCGCTGTAGAGAATGTCCTGCAGCTGTTTTTCGACGCCGCTAGTATCGCTGGACCGGCTAAAAGAATTTCGATCTATTACTCTTTCGCACAAACGGATGCTAATCCTTTTTAAATATCAGAATCATAATACTCATGGCTTTACCCTACAATTAAACCAGTGATTGTCACTTAAAACCAGTTTAACAGATCCTGAATGACGAAATCGGCAGTAAGACGAAATAAGACAGAAATGACAGTTATATGGTGTACAGCTCAGACGATAATGGTGATGAGCATTGCATAGGCCAGACTAACCATAATTTTCCGATTGAACGATGTTGTCAAATATGACGCGTCTAATCCCCTGAACCACCGAACCATCCCCATCCTTAAGAATCACTGAAACCACCACAAAATTACGAAAAGTGAGATTAGATGATATAACGGAAAGATCGATGGACTCCAGCTCCAACTTCAATCACACAGTACTCAAAAAACCTCGATGTACGGTATTCGATGAACGAATGCACTCGCTGTAAAAGAGAAGTTAAAACCGAATAGCTGAAAACAACCGGTTACCCGCATTGGCTGGGTCTGTGTGAAGAGACACTCGCCGGCATCGAAGTTACAGGCAATCAGAAGCAGAGAAAATCAGATTCAGATGGAGCCAGACTATTGGAATCGTCCGTACTACGATGGAGTTCAGCGTCATGTGATCCGAAACTATCCGACATTGGTCAGCATCTACATTCATCAATTCTAGCACAAACCCTAATGAACTGACCATAAACCAGTTTTATGTTGCCCTAGGCAACGCTTCACTTTTGAATAACAACCAAGGTAAAGTTGTGAAATGGGTCAACCATTGTTATGAGCCACATGCTTCCAAAACGGCGGTGTCCAAAGACTTCAAGTTAAAACCAAGCACAGTTTTAGGTTAATAAAACTACCATACTGTATCACAAAACTGCCCCATAAGTCAGCTGGATAGCATTTGGTGTCTATTTTCACCCCGAAAAAATGTATCAAACATGTAATGACCTAGCCAGCTGGGGCAAGTCAGTGAAATGAAGTTGCTTGCTCTATTCTTGTCTCACATGAGCTACTAATGCTGACGGCCTATTCGCTCTAACTCTGCTCATGCCAACCTATCACTGACGAAAATATAGACAAACTTTTCGTCGTCACTGTGATATTCAGTCACCCGCGAAAAGCCAGACTGTTTGGATGAGTAATTGATTCACATGGATTTATGCATCTGTCCGTTCCAGATCGAGAATCAGAAGTCTTTCTCGATCGTGAAACCCGTTCATGTAAGACGGGCGCATAGTATGCCATTCGAAGCATTGAAGGGAAGAATAAAGGATCAATACATATGGATTCATCACAGAAAACAGAGCATTACCGTCACTGAACTTAGTTATTGATAGTAGCTGTTCGCCATGTTTCTAATCACGCCGGAGTGTCAGAGTACACACCTACTTCCGGTTAATCTATTAAGCCCACAACATAAAGTGACAAATAGAGTTGCTCACTGCTCGAAAATAAAGTGGAAGTTGTGTGTGTGTGTGTGTGTGTGTGTGTGTGTGTGTGTGTGTGTGTGTGTGTGTGTGTGTGTGTGTGTGTGTGTGTGTGTGTGTGTGTGTGTGTGTGTGTGTGTGTGTGTGTGTGTGTGTGTGTGTGTGTGTGTGTGTGTGTGTGTGCGTACGTCCATGCGATGCGTGTTCCAACAACTGGGCAGCCAGCTCAGACTCTGCAGGGACTCACATGGTGTTGCGTTAGAACCTGCGCGTAAGCAGGACGAATCCAGTCTTCAGCATACTTTTGCTTCGAATCGATGAATCTTAGACTGCCACCGGTAAACTCATAGGCAGAATTCGACACAAGTTGGATGAATCTCCGGACGTCGTCGAAATAATCAGATCACAAATTTCCACATGTCCTAAGTGGATCAGAGTATCGTTTTGGAAAGTTAGCAATGTATCTTGGGTGGATGAAATGAACCAACTGAGCAAACATGGTGCCTCTGAAGTCCAAATCGGACCTTTTATCTATAGTAGTCCCCCAGTAAGTGGCTAACATGGACCCCGAGAGCAATACGGTGGCTGAAATATTGCCTGTTCTCGTTTGAAACAATCCAAAAACTGGTATATGGTTCGAATGGCTTTTGCTGTGGCAATTTCATCTTATTCATCGCAGCACGTGTCTGGTTCAAAATATATGCTTTTGCAGGCTATTCAGTAACAACAGAACACTGTCGGAAATAGCCATTATGTTTGGTTGTCTACGGTCTTTAAGGCGGTTGACCAGTCCTTGAATACCCAACGCAGCAGAAAACAGGCCCGCCACTTTCGACTGAGCTTCATATCATATTCAAACAACCTTATTGGTTTTTCATTCAGATTCCGTACTGCCAGTGAGGTAAATCTACGCTGAAAAGCTGAGAATCACTTTAAAGCTGTTCTATCCTTATTAGAACCTAGACTACGATCAGTCCCATAAGTGATCGCTCTGTTGTAGTAGTGCGATATGAGCGCTGTCCAGTGCCGCACATGTCGTTCACGGGGGAAGTGTTTACTGAACGCTGCACCTGCGCTTTTGTCATTTTTTCACAATCCGGCCAAAAGGAGTACATTTTCACATTCTGCACGTGTACACAGTACAAGCAAGGGTAAAATGTTACACATCAGTCATTCTGAGGATTCAGTGTGCTGGCAGTGACGACCAAAACGCAACCACAAACTGAACGCGGTTCTAACAGCATTTCGTAGTCCGAAAAACGTCGGGAAACGGAGCCACGTAGAGAGTCAGACAGACTGATGAATATGGCTATGTATACGGTTCTGTCTGTCAACAGAATGCCCTGGATAGAGATTACTTCTAAAGTGAGAGGAGGTCGCACCTTCTCAAAGTTATTTCGATTATGAGAGATTAAGGTTGCCCCCCACGATGGATGCTTCTAAATCCAAATTTTTCTGTGAGCATCAGCGAAAAATAAGATCTTCATTGCTCAGGTTGAAAAATTAAGTAACAGGCATCCTCCTTGGAAGTTGTGATGTAGATGCTGGACCAATACGAAGGCCGAATTTGCTGTAACTAAACACGGAGGGCATTTGATTGATGAGCACACACACAAAAGACGTTCTGGACTCTTCGATATGCACAGAAGTATAAACAACGTTGTCATGATAAGTGCCCTTTTTGGGTCACTGTACTTGCACTGTTCGTTTTAACGCTACTGAGTTGGACTATATAAGACGTGTATTTTTGCACAAGATGTTTTGAAGAGCTGCCCCCAGTAGCACCACAAGAGGCTGAGTTTACAGATGGGATACCAGTGTAACTATACCTATAAGCAGTAATGACAAGCTCCCTGGTTGATAATTCGAAGTGGATAAACGTTAGAGCATGTGTGATTCGGGAGATGCCCTCATCAACTCGTGTAGAACATGAAAACACAAATCGCGTAAAAAAAACATGAGACATAAAACTTTCTTCAAAGACAGGAAGCGAAGAACAGGCTGACAACGTGTACGCTAACTGTTTCCTATTTTACCATAAGTTGTTCCTCACGTTGTTAGTGCTTTCTCCGTCAAACATCACATTCAATAAAATGAAACACAACCGAACCACTAAACGCAACCGGTACCTCAGACGTGTTCAACAAGCGCTCTGAACAAGAGCAGACATGAATAGATAGACTGTTCTCCCTAGTTATCACCATAGTAATTATTCTGTCGAACGACAGTTCGAAAGGATACTGAATCGCTTTTGGGCAGCAGTAAGGTGTTGTTCTCAGTGACGGAGCTGACAAGCAAGGAGGGTGACTGCCCTAAAAACCAATATGAAGCATATCAAAGTGGCAAAACAGATATCCACATTAGCGTTGTTCGAAGCTGTTCTACACCTAAAAATACGTCCAAACATTTCATGCTGGAAAGGTGTAAATAGTTAGCAAAACACACAGGTTATCACCCTAGGACTGTGTTACATGCCACGAAGAACAGAAAAAGAACTTGAAAAACATGCAGCCTACCACTTATGTGAGCGTCCGGCAGGGGGACGCTGAACATCAGGCAACAGTTGACGTCTCGTCCGTGAAGACTCGGCTAACAGTTATCGCATGTGAAAATAAATGAAACAGAAGCAGAAAGAATCCAGTGGTTAAATCATGGAGAACAAGTTGTACGCTAAACATAACGGAAAAATCGCTATTGTAACGTTGCATCGATGGAACACACTACTCATAAGGTTGCTGAGAACTTTACGACAGCCCGCGACCTGTTTCATCTTTGGGGGTTCATCAAATAGGTACAGAAAATTATTCTTTTCGGGCAAAAATACATATAAGTTGTCTTTCATACTCCAACAGCGGTGAAAAGGTACCCCCAGATCTTGAGCTCAAAATAGCTCCGCGGTCAACGGAAGTAAAACTACCAACCGGAAAGTCACTAATTCGAAGCAAACCCTGGCTTGTCGACTAATTCCACCACTATGTCAGCCCTCGTGCCTCCTTCGGGTTGAACAGTAGTCATGGGCCGTGGGATGCAACAGACAAACGAACCTCGAATTAGGAGGTGTTTTCCTGATGCGTGATAAGATACTAAAGTGCAAATGATGCAGGCAGTGTAAATCGCAATCGTTAACCTGCTTGAAATTCATCTGACTGAATGATTGGTCAGATACCGAAGGTTATCTGTGCCACTAGTTCAGAGACTGCCAAACACCGGCATCAAAAAACAGTTCAACTCTGGTGTCTGTGAGACCTGGCGAAACCGGGACAGATAGCGGCTGAAGTGGGGAGTTTGAGTGGCTACTCACTTAGCTCTACAAAAACCAAAACGCAGCAATCTGGATCGAGACTGAGAGGGAGAATGCAACTACCAATTGTTTCCTGTCCGGTTAACAATCAAACTACGGTAAACCATGCACACTCCACGTTGGGCATTGTTAAGATGCCTTTCCAACGAGTCATGTTTTCGTCCTCCTCTTACTTAGTGTAAACAATAAGCCTTTGGGGCCTCACGCTCTGATCCTATGAGTCACGCGTCACCTATAATGATTGCCGTAAAACTGATGCACGCGACACAGCCGCCGTTCGCTGGGGAAAACAGTCGAGTGAGTCACACCATCGAAAACGCCAAATGATTAGCGAAGCGTTATCAAGGAGCAAATGAGCATTATTTGGAACGGGGATATCTACTATAGCTAGGTCTGATATTGCCACAGGCATCCTTTTGCAGCGAGACTAGCCCGAATCTGCGCAATCACTGTGGTAATGGGATAAGAGAGCTAAACAATCTAAGTTCCTCATTGACGGACAAAAGACGAAAAAGTCACGAGTTTCCCAAAGACACCTGTTTCTACATCAAAAGCGCATAAACGAATCAATCAACCGGATAGAAGCTATGCTACAAGATATCACAGAACCTACCCGCAAATAAAGCGGGCTAAAGGGCAGAGAAGGACTAACTGTCCGCTGGACGAACGAATGTAGGATTACATCGCCCCGATGTACAGTGGCCAAAATTGGGAATCTACCGGAGGAGCAGCACTGTAGACTCGTCCTGAGACATGTATCAGAAGAGCTGGTAGGTTCCTTTGTGATCATCTGCTGATTTCGTCCAGTTTCTTTCGTTGGTACCCACCACTCCCAGTACCGATTACCTCCACCACAATTCACTCGGAAGAGAGCGCGCCGATTAAGGCGATCGAGACTGAACGAGTATCCTTTCCCACAACTTTGGCCGAGCAAGTATGCTTTGAAATTGGCCTGGAAAGAAAACAGAAACATGTACTACATCTTGCTAGCTGGCGAAGAGACAGATTAGTCAGTCATTCGATTGGAAGCAGACACTAATAGCTGTCAGTGTCAATAAATGACAAACGAAGGGCTCGTAAGAGTGTTTCGTGATCAATTTTTGTGATGAAATGAAAGCTGAAATGACAACCGACAAGACGACACTAGTCGCTGCTATAGTAACTAAAACAAATGCAATCGATGTACACGACAAATGAATAGGTACTTGAATCTGTTCAAAATCGGATTTTCAGGTCCGTAGTACCGAAAAAATTCGTCAGTCGTCGTTCGCAAAAAACAAGCGAATTTCCGTGAACATCGCCTTCATAGTTCGAATCTCAGTAAGCGAATAGGAGGGCCATTTTGTAGGAGTTTTACCACCAGATTGCAATTTTGCTCCTTCTGGAGCTCTTCACTACTGTGTGACCCCGGATATGAAGCGTTGACCAACGGAATCGAAAATTGATTTCTTGAAAAACAGAACTTCCAGATGACCGAATTCATAAGGAAAGCTGTCCATAGTCCCCCTCCAGATTGGCAGGTAGGACTGAACTACAGAGTACCTGATCAGCGTGCAAGAGGATGCAACAAGAAGGAACGAAAAGTTCAAGCTAACAAAGGTTTTCCAGGTCAGGATGAAAGCTCTTTGGCCTACATTAAGCGTCTCTTCAACGAATAGCAACGAATAAACGTGACAAAAAAATCTATAGCGGTTAGCCCAATAAAATGCCACACAGCGACAAATCCATTCTTAGGACGGGACTGTCCACTTGTGTTCCAAATCTGTAGCCATTTTGATTGACTGTCAGACTTCAATTTGTGTCTCAAAATATCATTTCGCGAACCCCCACAAAAGAATCCAGTGCACAGTCAATTACCATTGACCTTCCCATTCAATAATCACCCGGCTCCATATGTTCCCATATTTCCGGTAATCATGTACATTGACCTGAACAAGGAAATTCTTCCAAACACAAGAATCTCAGGCATGACCAACTCAACGTGGTGCTAAAAGATTGTCCAACGCGCAGCATGGCTTATCCGATTTGTAAATTAAACGCAAGCTCATTAGTGACTGCAACATGGATCCTCGCCCGAATCATTAGCTCATTCGTAGCTAAGTGGCACAGGTAGTTGAAGTAATGGGACCGAGAGTAATCACGCACACATTAATGGACTAATCGACCGAAATTAACATGTGAGTGATGTTTTCGCGAATCAACGTAGGAAATCGCAGACTGCTAAGAATCGACAGCGCGCTTTTGCTCTTCGGAAATTTATGATCATTTTATTCCAAAAACTCCGGTTAAAGCCGCCCATGAAACCCAGTGGGTGAAAAAAAAACGACAGTGCCACTATAACGAGTGAAGGTATGACAAGGGTTAGGGTGGTGCATACGGTTGTGTAGATGAGTGAGGTAATGGTGCAGCTAGGGTTGCTTTGATTGTGACAGCCCGGTATGTACGATAACTCAACATAACAGTAGTGATATAGTGAAGAAATGGACCACATCCGACTGTTTTCTCTGCCATAATAAGCCGATAAAATTGCATTCATTTGTTCCGTGTGATTTTGTTACCAGTCAGAACGAAGGGACCTAATAGCTTTTCCGTGAGCACCAGCATTCTGAAGCCATCTCCAAGATCCAAGTCATAATGAATGAATCAAATAATAATGAATCAAAGCTGACTCATTTTTGGCTTCCGTGCTTCGGGACCGCAGTTCTTACTTGGATGTAGCTAGCCAGTGAAAAACTACTGCTTCGGTCCAGTAAACAGGCCCTAACGACAAGTTTGAATACACATCTTGGTAATGCACCCATATACCACAGTTCCAAAGTTATTGAGTGTCTGTACATACACTAAGGATGAACTGACTGATTTCAGTAAATTCTGTCAATTGTCGCCGAAGGTCTCCGAAGACACCGCGCTTTTCATCAACTAGGTGCAGTAGGAAATGCGCACCTGCTCGGTTCAGGCACGGTTTTCCCCCAGACCATATTACTCAACATACCTAGTGAGTAAGGTGCGAGAAGCATCCGAAATCAGGTTAGTTCAGCACAGTTTTTAATTACAAACCATCGGTCCCAGCTACTACAGTTTCGATTCCAGAAAGTGGGAGAGTGTGGAATATACAACCAAATCTTGAAGGCGATGGAGTGTTCATTCATTTCGGGAAGTGGGTAGCTACGCATCACATCGGAAAAAAATCGTTCAGCTGTAGCACCCTTTCGGTGCCTAGCTGCCATGCCACCCGAAGGAAGCACGAGGGCTGGGATACTGCCAGGTTGCCCAAGCCTAGACAGGGGAAGTCGAGTGGCGGAGGTCGGATTCGAACCACGGACCTTCCGGTCAGTAAATTCGCGCTCTAACCACTTGGGTCATCTCGCATCGGGAAAAGTCGCATAATGAAAGGAAGTATGAACATGCCCGGTGTATAAACAAATTGTAGTAGGTGAGGAGTGATCCGACAGAAGCCAGGTTTCTGCGCTCTGAAATGACAAAAGGTGGACGGACTTCGAAGAGCAGAAAACCTGCTGATAGCACCAGATCCAGAAAAGATTTGAAAATTTTATAAGCCAATAAATACCCATTTCAGAATGACCAACAGCAGCAATATTTACAGCCGAAAAACATATCTTCATCATGGAGATTATTGCTGCACCCTGTAAACTATAGCTACCACTCGCATCAGGTAATTCGCAATCCAAATTTCAAAGTGGTTGGGACAACCATAAATAGCAGCGAAACCGGAAAAATACCGATTGAAATCCCAGCGCAAAAAAGCAGTTATCCGCTGTTTGGTAAAATCTGTCAACCCAGGTCAGCGAACTGCAGCTAGGTATGAGGCCGATGAGAACCAAATTCCCTCCGAGTGTGACATGCCAGAGACGGAGTTCACCATGCGATCGACCGCAGGAGATGATTGTGGATAACGAAGGAGCCGTAAAAACAGTTGCCAAAGTTGTGCAACCACCTCGACCATGGCAACATTCCATAAGCCACTGCGGATGTTCACAACTGGGCAACGAATGATCCTGCTGGAAAGATTATAAGAGTAAATCAGTTAACACCGAACAAACATCTTAATGCAATAAAAAGAACAAGAAATTGTGTCGTGATTCTGAGCTGGTGAGGTCTCTCAAAAAGCGGGCTGGTAGGCAAGCCTCAGAATTATTGTTGCTGCTGTTACGATGATGACGATGGTGATGACCTCCCCAGTACCGATTAATTTGTTCTCAAGGTAAGTTCCAAGTAAATCAGGTTTGTTGAACAAAATAAAGAATAAACACGCCATTACACCAGTGAGCATTAAGGTCATCAAACTGCCAACGGATTCAAATCGCCTGGGCCATACTGACGAGCTACAGATATTTTAGGCAAAAGAGTCTCAATGGAAAAAACAGGGAAACGTTAATATTAGGCAATAACTGATCATTAGACTGCAGGTCAAAGGAAAATTCCCCTCCTGCCAAACGAGTCGTTTTGAACTCAAGCACACGTTGGGTCATCATTTCCAGTAAAACACGCATTCCCCTGATTTTTGGTGTTCGAAATCCGCTGTGACACTAGGAGAACAGTGTTCATCGACACGGCAGTCGCGCGATGTGTCGCTGATCTACGAGCATCGAAAGGTTTGTAAATCGGCTGAATAGCGAGTTAACACATGCACATGCGGTTGTGGCGAACAACGACCCAGGGAGACTCGCCATACTTACTACGCCTGGGATGGTGATTATATGATAAATGCTGAGGTTGAAAAACCAGTTACAGAATAAATATCAGAAATGCCCCCAATATTGGCTGAATTCCACAAACACAACACCCATCGGACTCACCGAATCATACTGGACAAGGAAATACGACCAAATCATAGTAAACTAAGGCTGATAAAAAGGCTGGATACCCATGAACAGCACGTGACTCCCTCAAAAACAGTTGTCTCACTGATTTCCGTTAGCATGTTCTATCGTACGTTCCCAGCGCCCTGATTTTTTCGGTCGAGACAGAGAGAAGACATCTCATGTGTTGACATTTCTTTCACTGTCGTCGGTCGCGGACGTGAAACAAGCATGACGAATAACGACAGCTGTAAAACGGACACTTATGGGATTTACGAGGTCAGTCACACGATCGACGTTATGGTGGTGGTTGATGGATCCTAATTAACATGGCCTCGGAAATGGCAATCAGATTTCCGGATGTCACTTAGTATCATTGCATGGAGAAAATGAAACGGATTTTGGTAGACAATCGGCAAGTCTGGATAGACGATTCACTGGATAACACTCACCTGGTGAAGGAATAAATGACAGCTACATGGCGACAACTTCACGCACGCACCGCGCACCAAAACGCCTAAAAGTGGTACATCCCTGCATCTAAATCTATGGACAAATAACTCGGCATACTATCAAGTCACCCGCTGGTTGTTTAACACAATAATTTTCACACCAATCCAGTGTTTAGTGCATGACCTGCCAATGCCGAATCTATGACTATCGCCTGATATTCGTTTACATTTCTCGGTGGTCTATTAATGGACCGCCTATGCTCACCGATCCTGGTGTGCAATTGCCTGGCTGTCTGATCTATATCAATTTTCGTACAGTCGTTACATTTTATTTTGTATTCACAGTTCCTAGTCCTATTAACCGGAAGGCGATTTTTCAAATGCACCAACACCGAGCGTACAGTCTTTCCCTTCTGGAATGCTACTCTAATGTTACCCGTATTCAGCACCCTTCTAATGACTTCAGATGTCCCTGTTTTGTATGAAATGACCTCTGCTCCTATCCACTTTAATGGGCCTTGGTGTTGGCACCAATACCCGTCTTAGTTGCCGCTTAATTAAACCCACTGGGTATCCGCTATCTTGAAGGCTTTTTTTACCTCAAGTTGTGCTGCTCTTCGGTCGACCTTCTCTGTGCACAGTGCTCTCACTCTCCTAAACATCGTTGAAACTATACCAGCACATACTGCTTTCGGATGTGCTGAGGAGTATTTTAAGACCGCGCTATTATTTGTTGATCTCCGATAAATAGATGTTTTAAATTTCCCACCACTCTGGTGTGTCATGCAGTCAAGGAAAGGTAGTATACCCGATGTGGACTCTAACTCCATACTATACTTAATGTGAGGGTCCAAAGTGTTAAGATATTGAAAAAATCCGTTTGCCTTATCCCGCTTTACCACATAGATTTTGTGTCAAAAGCGAAACGTTGCCCAGTAATAAATCCACCGATTGTTGATCAAACCTCTCTGAAACGCTGGCTACCCAATCGGTCCCAAACATTTTCCAGTTGATTGTTCACACAGCCATACTATACTTAATGTGAGGGTCCAAAGTGTTAAGATATTGAAAAAATCCGTTTGCCTTATCCCGCTTTACCACATAGATTTTGTGTCAAAAGCGAAACGTTGCCCAGTAATAAATCCACCGATTGTTGATCAAACCTCTCTGAAACGCTGGCTACCCAATCGGTCCCAAACATTTTCCAGTTGATTGAATGTTCACACAGTTTGTTTCCAACTGAGTCAGCAGACAAAACAAAAATCCTCTCAGTGAGCTCTCGATTCCCTCTTTACCACCGTAACCCTCCATGGGACGGTTTATTTTCTATGCAACTTTATCGAAAGAGATGGATTTAGGAGTCCCTTTTGAGTATTCCAGAGACTTGACCCTACTATGCACTCAAAACATAAAACTGGAATTCGGATATAAGCCTATAAATTGAATGAAAGGGCTGCTATAGCGCACCTAGTGGGATCAGAAATGGCAAATATTGTTTTCAGAATATTTGAACCGCAAGCGACTGATAATATACCAAGACGTTGTTATACAAAAGGGGTGTTAACCATGTTTTCATTTAAATTTCCAACCATTTTGAATATTCTCGATTCCCAAATGTGAATTAAATGATAGCCAACCCTTTCTAGACATACCTGCACGTAAGCAAGCGACCGGAAGTTTTCAACATTATGTTTTTCACAAGACTACTTGCAGTAATCGATACTTTCAAGCTTTGCACGGACTGCTCATAAACGCCACCTGCTCTATGGAGCCAGGAAAATATGTAGCACGGGCCAGCTAGCAAACGAGCCGGAGTTTCTAGAGATCTTCCTATTAAACCCCACCTCATTTTGTTAAGACTCACAGCAATGCAAAACAACCGTAGTCCGCGGTTCAGGAAACAGAAAAGAGCAAATTTCCCTTCCTATGGTCTAAACGTTATTATTTAACGAACTGCCTTAAGCACCGTGGTACCGGCTCTAAATCACGCTTACACGGTTGCACCAGTGTCTGATTCACACCACTACAGGGGTCCCAGTGCACAAATGAGTAAATAGTTTGTGCGCTCTTTCTGCATCTCCTACAGCATCTCAGTTGCCTTGCCAAACACTTGCAGAACAGATCGACGTCTGAATCTTCGAGCGTTTGGAGTCAGCCTGAAGTGGCTGATTCAGTTACTGTAGAAACCAAATTGCACGACCAAACGAAAGCACGGTCATCGATCGGGAGGGACCACATTGCTGCCGATCATCGTATTGACCCCACAAACTACTTGCAAGTGTGTTGCAAAAACTGAACCCCTAAGTTGATGGACACTTCCGATGCCACCTAAATTAGGATTTACCAGTCAGGATTAATGGTGCAAAAGGTGTTGACTCAGACCTGGTTACCATGACAGTGTTCATGTGACCGACCTGTCCGTCGCTATTCGTCTTGAATGTTTTGTGCCCGCGACTGAAGACAGTAGAGGAAATGTTAATACGTCGCGTCACATGCCTTCCCTCTGCTTTGAAAAAATGGATAGAAAAGAGCCGGAGTATGAAATTTATCAAAAGAAGGCGCTACTTTCCTCAATTACTAAGATGATAGTTCATCAGATTTCCCATTCACAGCATTCAAAGCACGTGACGCAACAATCGATAGTCCCAAACATTTACAGTGTCAAAACTACGATCTCGTTTACGACAGCTAGCGAATGTCAACTTGTGACTCAATCGATCAATACGCCATTTTGCGCTTAATACTGATTGCCATGTTGACGTGTTCTCGCCGAAATGTACCAAAACAGACTGGAACATTGAAAATCTGGATGCGATGATGGGACGTGAAAGTTAGAGTGGTCCTGCTGGTTAAACTAACCAGAACATCAGCTCACAAGGTCAACAGGAGGGCCAAAGGGAGCAACCACACAAAGAGCAGCAAGCCCCCGTAATACAAGTAGTCACATAACAAGACTGTCTGGGAATAAAGTCGCCCTGCCCTATGAAGTAGGAGTGTCAAGGCAGTGAGGTTCTTCCCTCAGGTAATCAGCACGTCCATATATATGGACGAAGTGGCGACGAAACCTCTTTCAACTTATCCGCAACACCGGGCGAAGAAGGCCGCCCGTCATTGATCATTATACAAGAGGACTCAAAATTCATTCTAAATGCCGCCAATTGATTCGGTGGGCACAGCGCTTGAGTTTAGTCCGCATGAACTGTCTAGTATAACGTTCAACACACAAACTTCACAAAAGGACATGAACTGCTAGGTCCCAACAGAAGGTGAAATCAAAAACGAAACAAAATCTTTGAGGCGAAACAAATCACCGGGTCCTGATCGTCTTACTATCAAGTTCAAGGATGGAGGAGAAGTACTCATTTGTAGTATGGTAACACTCGTTCAGGGCATCTGGAGGAAGAATAAAGTACACCAAGGATGGCAGATATTACTGCCCTTCCTGTTTCCAAAAAGTGTATTAGCAGTGAAGGTGATATCTATCGGGGTATCAGTTTGTTCTGCATCGCTTCCAAGCTGCCCACAGGTATCATTCCACACAGGCCTACTGGTACTCGCGGAACTGTCAAAGTCAAGCTGAGTTCCGTCCGCGTTGTTGATGCGCTAAACGAATTCTCGAACACCGACGCACGTACGGCGGGCCAACAACTGTCGTCTTCCCAGACCTAAAAGTAGCGTTCGACTCAGTCGTTCACCCTGGTTTTTGGGGATGAACCACATACAACGGTATGCCGAACATCTTCCTCACACCCATTCAGTCCTTATACTCCAACGGCCACATGAACACCCGTGGAATATTCTCCTGAGTTCGTAACCAGAAGTGGTATCCATCATAAAGGAAACTACTCACAAGGTTGCTGAGAACTCTTCGACAGCCCACGACCGGTTTCGCCCTTCTAGTTCGGGCTCATCAGGTAGGCGCAGTCCCCGAGTTTCCGTCAACCTTATGTTCTACATGACCCCGAATTCGACTGTTTTCGAGAAATACACTAATTTGCAAATCAACTTGGTTTTCACGAGAGACTCAACTGAATCTCTCGTTTATGATATTTTACAACTGAATGTGCTGCACACAGGCCGCCTCATGCTTCAGTACGGTATCCATCATGTCTGCTGCTTTTCACCTTTCCTCCGCAACTTCGCAATCGAACCAATTAATAAAGGGACGTTCGCTGTCATCTACTTCTGGGGTGAAACTTCTTCTTAGGGGCGATGCTGCACAGCTTGGTTCGTGTTCCATCTAGATACAAAACGCACTGAATAATCTAATGTTGCGATGGGTCTGGGTATGCGCTTTGCACCATCAAACTTCGGATTAAATATGGTGATGGCATCGGAACCACTAAAGATGGTGGACAAATTTACCCATCTGGGTGGTCCCATCACGTCGGATGGCAATACTACCAACGAAGTGAATCGTGAAAGTCCGTTCTGCTTTCCTTCAACTTAGGTACCTCTGGAGTCTTTGTGACTTTGGCCTTTAGGTGAAACACAGGGTCTCCAATGCATCCAGTATTACTTTATGGATGCAAAGCCTGGCCACTGTGTCTTGACGACAAGAGATTGCCTGATGATCGGTGCCTTCAAGTTGTTGGACATGCATCATGGGAACAGTGATTTGACAATAGTGAAGTGTAGTGAATGTATACTACCAACAAAGCGATTGTCTATACAGTCGACGATTTGATTCAGCTGCACCAACTACGCCGGCTCGGCTATGTGTTGCGTATGTCAAGATATCGACAGTCTCGCCGTGTCCTGTTTGCTAAGCCAGGTCCCAACTGGAACATACCACAAAGTGGGCCGCGTATGGCCCGGGGAGACCGTATTAAAAACACAACAAAAAGTCTTGCTACACTGGTACATGCCGTCTGTGGGATTGGAGTATCAGATACACACTAAATCCATGGTTGGAGGTACTCACCACTATGATGATGTCAGGCAAACAGTAGCGATGTTGTCTTGTCTTCAACCATTAACCCGCAATTCTTCCTTATTTTTAAAAATGTCTTTCCGTGCCCCCCCCCCCCCCTCTATCTTCCACAAGCTGCGGTGACCAAATTTTCATAAGTGCAAACTTCACGGCTGTTTAACTCAAATGAACTGAACGGAAATACGAAGTGGGCCAGTAGCGAAGGTCTCGGGTCAAAATCATAGTGAAAGGTTTCTCCCAAACTACAGTCTACATCCGTGCAACATTAACACATTTCCTAGTCTTTTCCGTTTCAGTTAAAATGTCTGTATCGCACAAATATTACCCCCAAGGGACCGAATATATCTGCAATTACTGGAATACGGCATCTTTCTGATCTCTACCAGCACTGTGTCGTCAGACGCTATCTGAACGCTACATTAAACGAGTATTTCTATCATTGAACACGATATCCCGCACGACAAAACTGGGTCGACACTAGACGAAAAACAGGATGACCTGTCCCAAACACTGTGAACTTACCAAAGAAGTGTACGAATACAAACCTCCATCGCGAGTGCCAACAACTACGGTAGTCACTAAATCCAGACCATCTGAGCACGGTCGAAGCACAACACAACCAGTACTGGCCCACCTCATTTCCGATCCAGGAGGGAAGCAGAGACACCTTTTTTTAGTCGAGAAGATAAATAATCCGGAATTCTCAACAGATCTGACCACGGTAAGTAACACCTGAGATGTGAGAAACCAGAATGACTGATAACAGAAATGAACCGGGAATCGAGCAAAACAAGCGTTTGGAGCTGTGCTCAGTGCGGCACAAGTCCAGTCCTAAGGCCAATTAAATAAGACAACATCACAATAAAAGACAATGTTCCAAAATGTTTTTTAGTCACTTATTTCAGTTGCCTATCAAAAAATTCATCAAGGATTGCTGAGACACACGTTGATCGGACGAGTAGTGGTCCTCCAAAAAATTATGTTATGTTTCATGTTGATTCCCTTTTTTTCAGTTCACTAATCTTAATCTACTTGGCATTCCATAGTGAAAAATAGTGTTGGGTTATTGTGAAATGGTTGAAACTGCTCGCCAGTTCACTAACTAATTGCCTTCTTTGTAACATCCCTCTGGAGTCAGCCGATAGCAGCAATTTAATAGTGGCGGTAAAACCCATCGCCAGCGACTTGAATTCTGAGGCAATCCCTGCATCGAATTTCAACTACTTGGGGTGACAAGTAGTGTAATGTGTAGCGTAGTAACGCAACATGTAATGTGATGTGAAAATCCTATGAGAGTTTCTGGCCGAATCGGAAATCTGCGCCAAATCCTGATCCCAGGGCCAGGCGTTCGTCGATCAATCCTGCGTAATTTGTGTAATCGGCCTCAACCAAGCCTCAACCAACAAAGGCGAAAGTCCTCGAATGTTTGAGCTTTTCAGGATCTAAACACATCTTCCACAAACCTCATGAGCATCTGTGGAGAGGTTGGAAAGCAGCTTACTAGGTGGTTCTAAGTCTGCTTGGAACGAATAAAACCTTTCCGAACTAATTGACCAGTTCAGTTCGACCTCGAGAATCCTGGGACAGAACGCTCCGCATAAAATTGGCGGATTCATCGTTGCGAGAATCGTTCAGCTATCCGTTCGTTAGTTTAAATTGCTACCCAGGTAATTCAGCCAGCCGCCCTAAAACATGAGACTTGATTAGGGAGAAGGATTACGTTATAAAGACGATGCTACACCGTAAGTCCAGACAGAACTCCAGACGCGAAATCGGCTAGCTGCACTGCTAAAAACTGAAACCTGCTCAACCAACGAAGGCTGCAGTAAAATCTGCTGACTGACATAAGCTTAGTCTTGGGCTGGGAAACATAGTTACATCAATAAAATCAATTCGTTGTGTTGACGGTGGTGAAACACTCTAAGGCGAAAACTGCGTAACTAGGACAATCTATCCACCACCCGCATAACCTGAACTACCTATGAAAGCTAGAGCGCCTTCGAGTTTACTGACCAATATGAACTAAGCGACTACATGCTATCAGGCAGGGAAACAAAAGCCTCATTTACGCAGAGTTTGTAGAAGGCTAACATCCTCAATCGTCCTCTTGGACTTGTGTCTGAGTACTAAACAATGATGAACAAATACTGTAAAACGGTTAATTTCCTTGCAAACCTTCCGTAAGATGCTGGGATCGCGCTTTAACACTTGACCAGGTACTGCTCGTGTGTTTCGTCAGGGGTATACACCGTTACACCGATTTACTGGTACGCTACGGAAGGCAGACCTAAAGACACGGATGGTAAACCCAGTACGAATCCAACCAACTCCCCCTTTTATGGTTTCAGTAGCCGGGTCGACTATCACCTACTCTCCCCATGACTTTCGGGAAATCAACAGGGTCACAAATCCGACGGTGAATGGAAGAACATGACTAGGGAGAAGAAGGCGGGTAGAGGTTGGCAGTATGAAACATAATAAGATCCAGCACACGTACCGCGGGTCCGTTTTGCAGTCCGATAAGAAGATCTGATTCATCTAACCACGTCAAGTTCATCACTTTTCGACCCAGCTGACGCAAGTCTGTACACGCCAAGTAGGGAGTATCTACGCAAGAAAAGGTGTGCCGTTAGTATCACTAGCATCCTCAGAAAAGTGCACGAACTTGGTCAGACGAATTCCCGGGAATCAATTTCTTAGCGAGGTTTGGAAAGCCCACGAAATCACCGAACACCACCACCACCACAGAAGTCAGCTATGCCCCGTGAGCTGCCAACTTGGTGTTAGTAAACATCAAGTAAATGGACTGTAAACCATACGAGAAAAAAGGACATTACCAGAAACTGAAACTTAAATGAAAAAATCCCCTCCTGTATGGAACTCACACAGGAAGCAGTTTAAAAATGCAAAGATACAGTAGAGAGGAGCAAAGTCTGAGTTCTGTGAAATACGCTAAGCCCGGTCCCAAGAGTTGTCATCAAATCCACAGTTCCGTCATTATTACAAATTGAGTGAGTGAGTCTCAGAAGTAGCTGGCAACCCCAAGATCAGCCACAGGGTCAACAAGAAAGCAAATCCACTAAAAGGATATTGGGTTGCCCATTTCATCGACACTCTAGGTAACGTGAAAAATGACCGAAAACACTCGGAAGTTTGGGGCACACTAACAGATACATGAGAAGCACAGCATACATTTTACCAAACTAAAAACACACCAGTCTTCTTACCAGTCAGAACTTGGAATAAACCCAGTTGGCCTTGCTTGTCCCCAATCGCAGTAAGTGTATGAGACCGATTAGTTGCTGAGACTGTGTAACCGCGGAAAAAGCGGCCACTTGAGGGCGAGCCATCTGACTGCACTAGTTCATCTGGCTCAGCAGAGTGGAAGACATCAACATCATTCTGACTCACTTCACCCCGAAGTTGTTTGACAACTGCTCGACAAAATAAGGGCTTCAGTGTGATGACTGCTGAGGACGGGTTTTCTGACCAACACACCTCCGCGGTATGGAAGTGGCTGAGGGTGAAAAACGACGGACTGTGTTACCTTTTTTCAGTTCAACATTGGCTGACAGGTAAATGTAACTGTCACGGCTCTCTTCTGGACGAAAAAAGCCGTAGAGTTGACATTGAAGAAGAGCAGTCAGATTGATGGTATGCGACGCGTTCAGGCATAAAAAAGGAACAATCTGTGGTTTCTAATAGACCCCTAACATAGCTGAACAAGTATTTTACTACAGCGTGCTTGTTAAGTAAAACACCAATCTGTTCCACGGTTATAAAATGAGGACACAATTCCATTTCTGTAATAACATCTGATTTAAACCTCAACGGCATATGAAGGGACCATAGGGGGTTTCTTAACGGACGGGTTGTAACCTGTAGAGCCACACCAAGGCTCTGAGCAGCCACTGACAACCACAATTAAGAATCCAAGCTGCCGCACATTAGTGATATCAACATGTCCATAAGACATTCGCAAAATATCCTGATATGGATGCAGAAACGTCAGAATTTGAAATTAACCTGTTCCAAGGAGCAACGAACCCAAGGAGTTATACAGCTCTTGGGATAGCATAACTTCGTACCTAACATTTCGGATGACCATTAGGACATCTTCAGACCGCACTGGGGATATCTTATGAATAGTGGGTTATCTCAACTTTAGGAGGACCTAAAGTCAAGCAATTACTAGTATGAAGAAAGGCTTTCGAACCCATGTTGTTTGGTCCGCCCTTAATTGGAGTTCAGTCATAGCTCAAGTTTACGCACAGCCGATTATTCCAAGCATCAACGGAAAAAAATTCGTTTTCTAACTGCTCACCAGCATTAGCGACACATCGTTCGTCGTGGGAAAGCGTAATCCTCAACCAATATACAGAATACAGGTAGCGAACAGGGCTTGTTTTCTGTGGTTGATCACTTTGGATAGTCGTGTGCATGATTGGGTAATGAACGGATATGTGTGAGGGCGGAAAAGGGGGTACACAGACCGCTGAGTTAAACTGGTTAGACTAGATTGTAGGACTGGAATAGCCCATAAGCCATCACTAGTCGAAAAGAGGCTTACACGGCCTCCGAATCTATGTCGCCCTACAGACTATTCCACTCACAACCTTGTCTGATTGTGGTCTTATGAGAGTGATTCAGTGATCCATCGATCCATGTACTTTTCCTCTCTCCTTACACATTTATCCGCCGATGCACCTAATCATACACATAGATCCTGACGGATTTTTCGCCTATGAATTTATGAAGTCTATTTGTCCGACTATATTCGTTAAGCGCAAATAGTGAATGATCACCAGCTTCAAATAACGAAATCGCCTTAACGCCGACAGGTCGAATGCATATATGCGGACAATTCCATGCGGCAGACCAGCAGTCGGACGTGTTCCGCGCGAACTGACATCCGAGTTAGGTATGGAGACAAGACTCTTGCAAAAATAACGAAAGCGAAATAGCTCTGCCAACAGACGTCCCTGACCCTGGAAAAAATTACTTTGAGTAGACCCTCTCGATAGTTTATGAGATGGTTAATCGGTTGTAATTCACCCTAGTGAGTGTAGGGTGAAGGAGTCCGAGTTCTCATGAGGGAAGACTAAAGTCCAAACTCAACATACCATAAAGTCTTCACCCGTTTGAAAAAGAAAGCAACCTTACCCTCTGTCCGTGAGATAGAATAGACGTCCGGTCGGACCAAAGAACAAACAACGTACAAAATCGTGATTTCCGGGGTCTGCAGTCTGAAAGAATTGGTAAAACGAGGAGTGCAATAAATCTGATCCGGTAGGCAAATAGGCTCGACGAACTTGTGAACCATAGATCTACGTCAGAAGGAAAAAGTCGCATTAAATGATGAAACACATTCGGTCATCTGAATGGTTGGTTTATCAATCCACTGTTGTCATTAAATTCGAACAAACCGATGACGCGTCACCATAATCGTCCAGATGAGTACACTTTCGGGTATAAACTAACAGTTGGCAGTAAGCCATGCCATGCCACGTGATTGGTCTCCTACTGGAGGAGCACAAGTTGGTTCGAGATTTCCCGATCAGAGTAAATAGTGCTGACATCACAAGCTTTTCCGCCAGTTACGATATGGGTGACAGCATTCAATAGCTAAACAATGTTTTGGCTTAGGTGAGTAAAACCCGGTAAACCAGTAAAACAAGTTGCTAAGGGATGACATAAATAACAAAGTCACCAAAGGTAGCCGGCCAACCAATAAAGAGGCTAACCACGTCAAAGCCTTAGCGTTAATTGATCAGTTAAAACCACGATTAATGACCAGAGAGCCAAAACAGGTGAGAAACAGGGATACAGCTCTATGTTTGGATTACACACGGACCAGAAAAAAGAACAGGATAATCTTTCTCGACCCTAAATAAGGCTCATTTTCCGATTGAAATAAGCAGGGTCCTGCTCGCTCTACGTCAAATAGGCCTATGGATAGCTATGGGGATACGCCACGACTCGTTTACGTTTCCAATAAACCTATGATGCTGAGTACGAAGTGGCCTCCGCTGTATATCATGAAGATGCCGAATCCCACAGGGAATTGGACAGATAACCAGTCACCATAGAGTACAAGAGTATGTTAGCGAGTATAGACGACGGGTGGTCAAGTGTGCGCTCCCAAATCGCGTTAACCAGTTTGAACGTAGCACTAGATGTTCTCATCATTACCGACAACGGGGAGTCGCCTAACCGAGCCGACCAAACCTTCAATGATGACTAAGTACCTTCAAAACTACTCAAAAACTGATGAGATTACTGTGTATACTGATGGGAGGACTATGAGAAACAATTGTGCTTTCGTCCTGGAACAACGGAGATAGCCTGATATGGTGTAATGAAAATGAGTTACTTGTTTTCAATTTTGAAACACAGTTGGGATGGCAGGAAGTAACCATTACCTGAAGCTGGGATTCAGTCGCTGCAACATTATCTGGTCCGTTCGCATGTCGTGGTGAAAGAAACACTGAGGTTTCTTTGAGCTGATTGTGCGGAACAGCTGAAATGCAGACCGCACCATCATTGCCACCAGAAACCTGAAAATACAAAATGGTTACTCGAAAATTAGTGAGAATGAATCTGCGAACTTATTGATTTATATATAGAAACGGAACACTGTGCTCCTCTGAAAAATAGGTCGGTTATTTCGTGACTTGATTGTCAACAAATAAGTGGTCTTACATAGGAAAGGATAGCAGCACCACATCAGGTAGTCATCGCACGTCGACGGGTTTTGGTAGCTTATATGTAAGGTTTTCCTGAAACTTAGAATCGCTAATGCAATTCTGCGGCACAAAGTAAGAGAACAAATTTCGCACGCACGGTTGGACGACTGAGGGAAGACTCTTGCTTGTTTTACATATTTACCGATGTGTGGATCTGGAAAAACGTGGATGGTTAGCCTGTGTCCTGGCCCTAGACTAAAAGAAACGGAAAAGAAACAAGACCGAAAGGAGGGAAGCCATGCATGCGTTGTTTTACAATTCGTAATAATGCCACTTAGTTTGACACATTTTATTGCGACGCAGGCTCTCGAGATTGCATACAACGACTGTGATGCCTCTTCTGTCCATCCAAAGCCTTCATAAATCATCAGATGAATAGCACTCATGAGACTTGACTGTGGCTGAAGAAACAAATGACAAAAAAACATACGAAAACACAACTATTACACACTACCTGGCGTGCAGACTATAGCAAATCTGATCTTAGCTTCCATAATAGGACCGATTGTCACGCTGTAAGAGTAAATATAACACCTAAGCTCAACGTCACTATCCTCAGGGTGTTAAATTTCACATTCGCACTAAGTATGACGGGTTGCCAGACAGTTGGTTAGTTGGAAATAGAACCAAGCACACCACATTTTTTCACAGGAGCTTGGTGATTAAGTCAGTAAAGAGTAAAGAAGCGCGACCCCCAGTACCTTCAAGTTAGAACGTCCAGATAAATTTCATAAGACTTCTCAGTAGACGTCTTGGAATGGAATGTTTGAAGGTACTGAGTAGTCGTTCAGCTGTAGCACCCTATCGGTGCCTAGCTGCCACGTTACCCGAATGTTGCACGAGGGCTGGGGTACTGTCAGGTTGCCCAAGCCTAGACAGGGGAAGTCGAGAGGCAGAGTTCAGGTTCGAACCACGGACGTTCCGGTCAGTAAGTTCGTGCTCTAAGCACTTGGGTCATCTCGCCATCTGGATGGAGTAGTAAAACATCCATATACAAATATAAACATGACTACAGCGGTGGTTGCGCAGCTGATTGCGTGTCTGGGTTTATTCGTTCCTACACATCAAGAACCATCCGAATAGGTTGCTCGGATCACTAGGATACAAACTTTGACCATTCTGTTATCTTTTCCAATATCATGGTGCATTAGTTCCTCCGTACACTCAGGTGGATCACCCGTAGCTTACACAGGATGAGTATCAAAAAATTTCTCGAAAGCTTTCAAATTTCTAAAAGTACCACAGATATTCCGGAACTTCCTGGTGATTAAAAGAACGAATAGGAACAGAAAACTTCGTGACCAACCATCGCCTCGGTTGACTAACAGTAATCACACGATTCCTCCCAGAGCTACTTTGAAATAGGCATTCACCCTGCATTCACAACACTCTACCAGTATGAAGGGCGAAATGAAAATGAAAATGATGGATGGGCATGGCAGCTATTGTGCGACTGATCCCTTCACTGTCCCGTTATTGCTAGTAACCTGTCCACTATGGGTTGCCTGAAGTACTCTCATGATTTTCGGAAGAAATGACTCAGCCTTGATAGGTGAGCTGATCACACTGTACAGAGTACGGTGGTTTGGTCCGTGTGTGGGATAAATTTCCTCTATGAGCCTCTTTCTCACAAACACGCGAAAGGTTGAAATGAGCCAGGGAAGGTCAAGCAGGGACTTGGCAGGGACGCATGAAAGCTATTATCAAGAAGTTCAAATGTGATGGTCATTGCCTACTCCCTGAATGGGGACCATAGGACTGGACACATTAATGGTTGGAGACATTGACAGATATGGCGCAGTCGCGATAAAAGTCCACTGACACCCGTGTACTCACGCATCAATTGCATCAACTACCGACTCCAATGTGTAGACAACCCTACCAAATCATCGGCAAGCGGCAATCGGAATTGGCACAGGTCTGAAGACAAGTAAGTCTCTTCAAAAATTCGAGTGAGTTCCTTGGGTTGTGAGTGACTTGTACAGTGCCTATATGTAAAGAGGCGTGGCCTTATACTTTTGGGCGCTGAGCAATCACCAGAGGATGGGATGACATCGAGTATCTCATCCAAGAGCACCTGCTCCTTCTCCTCTTCGAGGACCAGAACAACACCATCTGTATATTCCAGATCGACAAGGCGTTCGTCAACGGATGGAGTTTTGAATAGCTCCCAGCGTTCGTTTCGTTACTTTGTCGATCACGAATGGAGGGAGTGGGCACCCCTGACAAAGACCACTTCGTGTACGGAAGCTTTTAGAGAGCCCCACTTATGCTCTCACACTCCCTCAAGTCTGAAAATACAAAGAACTCTTCATTTACAGGGCATTCCTTGCCGGGTGGACATGTAACGAAGAGTATACAGGTTAACTGATTCGAATGCGTCTTTGACGTCCAGGAATACTAAAATTGTGGGTCTCATAGGGCTTGACGTTCGTCCAGCACCTGACGGAGTGTGGAAATTTAGTTAATGCAACCCCTACCACACCCGAATTCCGATTTCTGCTCTCGGGTTAGTGTCTCACGAGCCACCATACGGTGACGGAGGGTAACTGACGCCAAGAGTCTCATTACGACTGTGATCAAGCTGAGACCCCTGTGATTACCACACTCACCACGGGACTCTTGTGAAAATGGGTAATTTCACCGATTCCACCCAGTCACCTGGGACAGTTCCTTTTTCACAGAAGCGTGCCTTCAGATATCTGGCAAGCACAACATCTGAGTATTTAGCTCGCTGGTAAAGGGTACGCAAGGTGTCATAAAACCTGTCTTTGTTGGTGTCAAAGATACAATCAGCTGGGACGTAAGAAGACAAGACGAACAGACAGGAATCAACTTCCAGCTTATGAGACTCCTTCACCGCACAGAAGTGACTATAAACATGTATCCAATCAAGCAACGACCCTAACACCCCGTGGGTTAGGATGATGCCACCCCCATGCATTCTGCCGAATTCATTGGTTTGACTTCAGGTAACCTGGCATGTGAGACTCTGTGAGTGTCACACGGTATATAGCTCAATGAGTCAAGGAGGCACACAAACCGTCACACCATGGTAAAGTCCAGTCTGTTCGTGACAGCAGCGCTTAACGATTGGTACAATGACTACTGTAATCTCCTAACGTGAACTATGCGTTCACTGGATGTATTCATGGCAAACCGTTTGGAAAAATGACACTGAAAAATGGGCTCAAGAAGTATGTGTGGTTAATCATTATTCAGCTGTAGCACCCTTACGGTGCCTAACGGTCATACCACCGGAAAGAAGGATGAGGGTCGGGATAATACCGGGTTGCCCAAGTCTAGACATGGAAAGTCGAAAGGCAGAGATCGGGCTCGAACCACGGACCTTCCGGTCAGTAAATTCGCGCTCTAACCACTGAGCCGTTTCGTAATCAGGCTCTGTAAACTCCTTGGGTCATTTTGATTGAACATGGACATACATCAAAATCAATCAGCCTCCATGCTACCTAAATGAAGCACCAGAGCATAGCCACTGTCAGGTTGTCTCAGCCTAGACAGGAGCAGTCGAGGTGCAGAGGTTGGGTTCGAACCAAGGAACTTCGGGTCAGTAAGTTCGAGCCCTAACCACCGAGCTGTCTCGGCTCGTTGAGACACTTTGGATTTGATCCTTGGTGACTCAAAAAACCGTATCGAAACATTTTTTCTATGGAGACGTGAATAATATAGAGTCAGCTTAACTTGAAAAATTTACATGCTATCCTGATGGCTTAGTGTATCATTAGGACAACTTCAAAAACCACAAAATTCAAAGTAGCCACCATCTCAGTGCAGGACCAGCTATGGCTCAAGGTGCCACTAACGAGGAAGGCTAACTTGACTAGATATGCTAGACGGCCGGTTTCTACATCGACACATTTAACGACAAACTTCAATCTTTCTGAAAGGAACTAATGGAAGGAGTTATATTTCAACATAACCGTACCCTGACTCATCATTTAACGTTCGAAACTACGACTACTCCGGCAACATATCCGATTGCCGGAATGGTCTATCAAGTTAGGATACGTCGCCTACAGAAAGAGTATGTGAATGATCGTGAGGCAGCTATAAAGCAAGAACAAGATTCATAACTTTGTGTGCGAGCTGGCAGCCAGTTTGAGATGTAATGAAGAACTAAAGAAAAGTTGGGGTCAAAGTAATGTTATAACAATGTATTCCAGTTGGATAGAGTGTGGAATTAGGAGTCGTATAACGGGTTATACATAGCCGTCTTCCGCCGCTAATCAACCTTGTGCCGACCTCATGGATTGGCTGTGACGTGTGATTCCTTACAAGAATCGAAACCAACGCTATGAAACACCTCTAGCGCGTGTTTTATTCACACCAACCAAAGTATAAACACTAAACCTCACTGAGAATTAAACTTACCACGAGTAGATCTCCATCGCTATTCAGCGTCCACACATGCACACACCAAACACCGTGACCACGATGGACGCCTGTAATGATCCTCTTCTTTTGCAGCGAGTCCCACGGGTACCATACTATGCGACAATCCTAGAGAAAATGACCCAGAAATAAGTAAAACGGGAGCAGATATGGCAAACGCAGAAACTGCGGACTTGGTTGAAGACAAGATGAATAAAAAAACCGGATAGACCCGTGTATTAAAAAACCGCAACTTTAGAACTCCAGTCAACTATAAGCTATCAAAGATTATCTGGCTCCATGCGTAACCCAGTGAAGTTAACATGTGTGACAGGCAGTACCGACAGAAACTCTATCCCTGGGTTCTGGCTCCGAACCTTGTCAGTCGCACAAACTGGTAACAGCAGAGCATGATTCTGTGCGATGTATTAGGACGACAAGGAGGATGTCTACACCTGATTACTATCTGTGTCTCTTTGTGAAGATGGACGCGTCCACACGACAAGACATCCAACGAGATAACCCCCTTCGGGAGTTTTTTGGGCATACTCTAAATTACAACCGGTACGGCTAGCTTAATTTTGTTTGACACGATAAACCACATATATTGAAAAACGGTTTTATCGATTTTTCAAGTAATCAGGCACATGTAACGGTTTTTTGGGTTTTATGGTTCATGACTCAACGCTCAGCAAAAAGTCTATGGTCATATTGCTGTATTCCATCCGAATACCTGATAGCTCCTTCAAAAACCAGTGCGAAATAATGTCCACCATCAGGTTATGTATTGCACACATCACAAGGTAGGAAACCTAACTGAAGATGCAACTATCGGGTACGTAATTCAGTTCAATGCACAATGGTTGATCGCAAGTGTTTCAACCGACACTGAATCTCAACAGCCAACAACGGGTGGTTGTGAGATCGATGCAGCTCAGTTCATTAGTCAGTTCCGCCGCTTGATGCTTCAGAAGTGTGTACAAATTCGCAGTGTTTTTCATATAGGTATACATAAACCATACGTCGGCCTCCGCACTTAAATCTACATATTTAAACTCACTTATTTCAAAGATTTGCGTATCCTAACAAATCTAACTTATCAGACAGAATGTGGTATCATTCCACCGAGCAAGTAAATTACAAATCTGAGACTTAATAACCCAGCTATCATCAATATTGACGAACCATTTGTTTTCATTTAAAAAGCGTACTACTTGAAGAATGACGAACCTATTGCCGGATCCCCCTTTTCGTAATCTTCCGGCATGTTATGCGTGCTATCTTAGAATACTGCTGATCAATACGGTCGTTTTCCTTTACCACAAAAACGACCGCGCATCGGTCCGATCTATCACACTGAGGATGATCAAATAAAAGCGGTCTTCAAAATGCACAGCTAGGGTACCCGGTAGCAGGTAAATATCTTGATTCACAAAGGTCAAACCTTTGCTCTAACTTGGCAAAAATATGCAAGGTACTCCTAGCCACCAAAGGCATACGCAGACGCAAAAGCAGCTATCGCATTCCGGTTAAGCTAGCCCTGATGAAACTAACTGGGACAAGGCGAATCGGTCTGGTGTGTGGTTGGATCGCATATTATGGACCACCCTAACAGTTCGCTGTCAAAATGCAACATTGCGCCAGCCGTCTATGGAATAACGAGGTCTGATAATGCATGGGAATACAGTGGACTCTCTGAGACACGTTCATTGGCCCCGCTATCTATTGTCCAGCTCAGAAGGATGTCAGGAAGAGTAAACGGCAATTGCATGGGAGTCGGCAAAGCTGGGTATCCCCTACGGATGGAGGATAAAAAATACCTACACAGGACCCATATATACTGAGAAACGTCCGCGGCCATAAAACTCACCTCACCCGAAGCGAGTAGTCCCAAATCGTTTGCAAAAACTCTCCATATTCTGGCCTCAAAAATCACATCTCCGTCGGGACTTCCAGCGACAAGAAGGTTGGATAAAACCCAAGGTCCGAGATAGCGGTCCACGGTGAGTTCCTTCTCCTCAACATCATCCAAAGCTCTGGTCCATATAGCAATACTTCTATCTTCAGCAGCAGACACCAAACGAACGAAGCGGGTTGATGTAGAGTGGACGATAGCGATGGAGAATACAGCGCCCTTCCAGAATGACGAGAGATCAGGTAGGGACTTACCTTCTGGCAGCTCAAAGAAGTATGATGTGAAGTAGTACAAACTGGAGAACTAGAAGAGTTCAAAAAGCGGAATACATGTTGGTCGATTTCTATACATCCAAACGTAGACCCGGTGAAGGAAACACTTTTGAAGCAATCACCCTTCAACCTACAGTCCCCCACAACAGCACCTGAATAGCTTCGTAGACAGGGAAAACACTACAAAACAAGTAAGTCGCCTACCACATGGTTGACTTCACTCTGGAGGTTGTAACCTCACCAATGCGAACAAAACCCTCCTTCATGTGTGTGTTTGTGCGTACTAGAAATATTTCACCATGCGCTGAGAGATAGAAAAAGCAAACAGTGTCCGCTTCCAAAAGGCTGATGGAACAATGTACAATATTGTCGCAACAATATTCCGTCCAGAGTTGCGCGATGTTCTCAAGAGAGGAGTCTGACGCCAAACCCGCATAGAATCGACATCCGCCAACTGCGATTGCAAAATGTGATCCACTGACTTTGACAAGAATAAGCATGAAAAATGGAAACGGCTCACAATTCTTCAATTCCAGATGGTGGATAGTTGTGAACTGACGGAAATGCCATGTATGAATGACACGACCTATCTGACTGTCGTACAGCTGAAGTTGATTTGCTGATCCTATTTAGGGGGAATGTTGGTACAAAGCGCAAAATACCTATCAAGAGTTTAGTTTTCGAAACAAAGTGAACGGCTGTGACAGGACAGTGATGCCACCGAATGGAAAGTGTTTTCGAATTCTGAAAAGGAAATGAAAAGCATGAAACTCCAACTGCGCCAAAGACAAAGAAAAATTGGGACAAAGTAAATAGCGCAAACTTTGGCTATACTAATATACACCTCATCACCACAATAATTGCAATCTGGTTGGTGAGAAAATCCGCTGAAATCAGCTGTATTTGAATCATTCACCAATTCAGTACCAGGTGATTAGAAGCTGTTGTATCGTGGGTGGCCGTCTATTGGTTACGCCTGCACTGAGCCTGCCAGACTACGCGATAGGAAGAAGGCAGAGAATTCGTGACAGAGCTGTATTGTCAGGGCACGTCCTAACACTTCTCCCTTTTGGAGACAAATCGTATGTTCTCAACCTGGGATCTATCTGCAACCGTTTTACTGGAATTCTTCGTTGTTCAGTTCTTCTTTGCAACGGAGATGGGTTGACGCCAATGTTCGACTCTGCTGACTCATTTTCCGGTTGCAGCTCGAACGTTTCGAGGACGTCTAAGGGTAGATTCGTTTTTCTTTCTTGTATCGTATCGGGTCGTATGCAATGACGAATTTAATTAGCATGCCTAATCCACACTGTTCCGCCAACATCTACCTCATAGACGACGTTCCCTCTTCGTCGCAATATAAGCCCCGAACTCCAGTGATTCACTGAGTAGTCACTGACAAGGACGGAGTCTCCACGGCTGAAAATACGTCCAGAGCGACATTTGCCGTTGAATTGTCCTGGTTGGTTTTCATCACCGGTCTCTGATTTTTCGAGGGCGCAATGCATCAAACAATCTCTTCACTAACCTCCCAAACATAAGTTTCGCTGGAGACTTCCCATTAGACGTACTTGGGTTTGGTGTCGTCCGGTACTTGGTTAGGAAAACATGGATGGAATCGTCCGTTGGTCCCTCCCCTCGAGATTTCAACAGTGCTTATTTAAAAGTATCCACAAATCTCTCGGCTTGGCCATTTGATTGAGGGTGGTACGGCGATGACCGGATATGCGTCAGCGTGTTCCGAAAACAGAAATAATTAAAAAGAGCTGAAATGAACTGCGTACCATTGTCCGTCACTATTGTATCAGGTAACCCGAAACAGCTGAGTACTCTCTGCAGTCTGGCAATGGTAGCTTCGGTAGATGCCTTGCGCATGCAAAAAACTTCCGGCCACTTCGTGAAGGCGTCAACGATTATCAGATAATACAGACCGTCGATTGGACCCGCAAAGTCCATGTGCAGCCGTTGCCATGGTGCCTCAGGCGTAGGCCAATCGTGTGGTTCACATCGTGCAGGATTCTTGACAACTTAAATGTATCGGGGACAAGTTCGGCAATAGTCTTCCATATCCTTGTCCATGCCGGGCCAATAAACGTAGCTTCTGGCCAACGATTTCATTCGGCTCACTCCTGGGTGGCCATTGTGGAACTGTTTGACTACTCGTTGTCGGAGGACCTCTGGTTCAATCACCTCAGCAAACATTAGGCAACCATCAACTATTGATAGCGCTTGCTGACTATTAGCGTACTGACAAACCTTTGGGTCGAGGCTCTTTCTGGGCCGGCCAAGTCAAATGAATTTCATGACTTTCTGCAGCACATAGTCGCGTTTGGTGGCCTCCTGAATCGTAGCTATGGTTATTGGAAGGGCTCGGACAGCGTCGGTGATAATGCGCTTGATGTCTGAGTCAACCTTAACAGTTGCGATCACTGTCTTCAACAATCGCACTGAGATCCAATGTGTCGCGATAGAGCACCTGCCTGTCCGAAAGAGGTGGTTGTTTGATACTAAATCAGAAAATCGTATCCTAGGAGAGTAGTGGCCCACCGCTGCAATCGGTTAGCTGTGTATGCGGGTATGCCATTCTTAGATCCGAATATACTCAGAAGAGGTTTGTGATTAGTCAGCAGAGTGAAACGTCGACCGTAGATAAATTTATGAAACTTCTGCACTGCAAAGATAAGGACTTAGGCTTCTTTTTCAATCTGACTATAGTTCCTTTCGGCTGGAGTGAGTGAACGAGCCACATGCGCGATTGCTTTCGCCGATCCATCAGAAAAAATATGCGATATCACGGCACCAATACCGTAACTGGATGCAGCCGCTGCCACTACAAGTGGCAGTTTATGATCGAAATGCGTGAGAAGTAGGTTTAAAACGAGCAATTCTTTGATTCTTTCAAAAGACCGTTGACACTGTGGTCCATGTCCATTTGGCATCTTTAACCAACAACCGATTAAGTGGGGCCCTTGTGCGATGGGGTTCCGGTAAGAAAGCACCGTAATGACTAACCAGACCCAAGAAAGAACGTAAAGTCGGTATGTCGGACGGCGGCGGCATCGTCTTGATTGCTGCTACATTGTCTGGATCGGGCCGTCGACCAGAATGGTCAAGGTAGCTGATTTTCGACATGGTGACGATACACTTTTCAGGGCGGACTCGGAAACCATATTCACCAAGACGTGTGAGAACCTCATCCAGTTTGACATAGAGGTCCTTTTCATCTGACCCAGCTACGATACTACCATCTAAGTAAGCCGCGGTACCTGGTATATCAGTCAACATTGTGTCCATGAGCTACTGAGGAATAGTGAGAGCAGTCTTCACTCCAAAAGAAAGACGGCTATATTGAAACAGTCCTTTGTGGGTATTAATGGTCAACAGCTGCTTAGACTCGAATGCGACTGGAACTTGTAGGTAGGCAATTGCTAAATCAAGCTTTGCGAAGCATTTACCCCCGTTTAGTTTCGCGAACAAGTCTTCAGATACTGGTAGAGGGAACTGATGTGCCACCAGAGCAGCATTTAACCCTGTTGAGAAATCAGCACACAGCCGGATGGACCCGTTTGCCTTTGGAACGACAATGGGCGCCGTCCAAGATGAGTAATTAACCGGCTCGATTACACCAGCTGCTTGAAGCTTGTTCAATTCTTGTTCTACAAGAGTCGTTGCTGCATAGGGGATCGGACGTTTTGGGCGGAAAACAGGTTGCGATCCTGGCTTTAACGTTAGAACAGCGGTGAACTTAGTGCACAGACCGAGGCCGTCAGCAAACACGCTCGAATGCTTCTTCCAAAAAGAGTCGGGCGGTTTCTGAACTATATTCGGTTTTGTCGCCTGTGTTTTGTAGCATATATTATTGAGTGGCCTGTCCAAAAGATTCAGCTTGTCAATCTAATCTAATCCTAACAACCCAGGATGATCGGAAACATGACAAATGCCACTAACGATAATATCGTCAAAGGTAATAGAACAACAGAACTCACCACAGAGTTTCAGTAAACTTCCAGATGCATTGCGTGCAACTTGTTTGGTTCTGCTTAATGCTGGGCTGCCAAGTAGCTTCCACGTTCTTTTTGAGATGATCGTGATGTCTGATGCCGTGTCCAGCTGGAGACGAACAGGTGTGCTGTTAATACGCATTGATACGTATTTCCTCCTGTTTACGTGTGGGCGTTGATGAGTGGCCAGAAATACGTGAGCTTTGAGAAGCTTGGAATAGGAAGTTCTGGTTCGAAAATGCCTCTTGGGTGCTTGCCTTTTCTCGCCGTGACACCGGTCTTCTTTGTGTCCAATACGGGAGCACCTGCTGCAGCGGTGTCTTCTGAGCGGACAAAAATTGACGAAATGCCACTCACTACATTTCCAGCATGCCGAAGGTGGCTTCTTGTCACCCTGACGGACAGTATGCTTCTGAATCGCACGGACAGCATTCCTGGGACCATTTTCTTGTACCATGATAGTATGACGCTTCAAATTCACCATGCGTTGGCATTCCGACTTAATATTCTGTAACGTGACGTCTGAGTTCTGCTCAATCTTGCTGAAGATTATTGTTATGTCTGCGTCTTCAGGAGACGTCAACCTGCACGCAAATATAGGACATTTGAACTCATCCTCTGTCATGCTTCGGAGTTTGAATCGTTCACACTCCTTGTTGACTTTGCCCGCGTACGTAACCCAGTCTTCAGCGGCCTTTTTACTCAAATTCATACAGTGAAATTGACGGCTGAACAAGGAAGACTGTTCTCCGAGATTGACGATAAAACAGCAACGGTTTCATCGAAGGTCAGGTCAATTGTTTCTCGTGGCAAAATATACTTCGTAAAGCGTTCATGTTCGGCCACTCCAATTTTCCTGATCAACTGTCTTGCTTTCCAAGAAGCTTCTCTGTTTCTCAGATCCAATCTGAAAAAGTCTTCCTGCTTGTTGAACCAAGAATCAAAAGTTATGCATGAGATCGGACCGAACTGGAATTCAGGAATGGCGTTGAGTATCATGTCGACCACTGAAGTGGACGGCTCAAGTCTGGCTAATCGGCTTCTGTAGTGACAATTTTTCAGTAAGTGTCTCGATGAGCTTCAGCTGCGCCAGCTCAAACTGTTTTGCTGGCTGTTTGAGGAGATACTGCATCTGTTCAAGTGAAATTGCCATTGTGTACACCCGTCTGCTAGTGTTGTATCGTAAGTGGCCGTCCATTGGTTACGCCTGCACTGGGCCTGCAAGACTACGCGATAGGGAGAAGACAGAGAATTCGGGACATGTATTGTCAGGGCGCGTCCTGATAGAAGCAAAATACGACCGAAAGGTGTTTTGTGCAGTAATCGGGCGTGGTGGGGTGAATGCTGAACTCCTTATGTTGAAAGCTTGTTCTCGAGGAACTGATCGACGCAAAAGTTAGTGTATACTCTCGGGTGACCTCTTTTCAGAGGGGCATCTTGGAAGAAATTACTACAAGTTAGAATGTCACTAAGGCGGGCTGTTTGTTCCGAAGGTATTGCAGCTGCCTCCCCCCCCCCCCCCCCACCCCCCCCCCCCCCGACCC